GACCCCGGGAGGCGCCGGGGTCAGGGGCGCCTCGGCCTCGCGCCCACAGTGCATGAGAGAAAGTGACGCGGACCGCTCCCGGGGCCCCTCCCTGCCAGCCGCGCCCCGGCGCTACAGGGGCGCGAACGCGGGTGTGTCCACGCGGAGGGCCTCGCGTGCTGCGCGCCCCCTCGCCTCCCCATCCCCCACCGTTTCTAGAGATGAACCCTTAAGACCCTCGTTTCCGGTTTCCCCACGCGGTTTTCTTTGCCTTTCTCTTTGCCAGTCTGAGTAGGTGGCGCGGTGGCCGTGGCGGGATCGCTGAGCATCACCTGGCAAAACGGCTCCTCTAAGCGCCTGGTGCTGCGTCCCAAGCTCGCAGGGGCAGCCGTGTTCGGGCCGTGAGTAGGGTACCAACCCGTGCTTTATACCTGGGGATCACTAAGACTCATCAGGGGCTTCCTCCAGCAACCTCGGAAGCGGGTTGGTAGTTAGGCACCTTGATGAACATTTATTTCACGTTCTTCCACCACCCGGAAACTTTCGGTGTTAGCTTCCAGCGGTGTTCTGGAGAGTGCGGGCATCAGGATCACAGGAGGGGTTGCAGAAGTACTGCCCGGCAGGCCCACCTCCAGAGTTTGCGATTTGGGAGGTCTGTAATGGCCCTGAGGATGTGCGCTTCTCACAAGGTCTGAGATGAAGCTCGCCGGTCTGAGCAGGGATCACCGCTGACAGTGGCCTTGCAGAGTGGAAATCCCAGGCCCTTGGTAGCCAGGCTTCGCCAACCTCCCCACTGTCGCTGTCCTCCTTATCTACCAGTTCTTAGGACCTACTTGGTGCTGAATGCTTTACAGACAGGGTCCGGTTTATAGCCCTGTTGTAATGTTACCCTCATTTTGGGGGAAGGAAAAGAAAAATTTAGAGATTTTTCTTTAAAAAGAAAGGAAAAAACTGGGCCCAGGTTCCTTAAAAGCACAGCTGGGCACAGGATTCTTACCAGTTTAGGTATGCCTCCATCCACGTCTCAGGTTTCGCCAAGTCTCTACCCAAAATATTTTCACCACTCCTACTGCCCAGCAGTTTAGTTCCAGAGATTCTGACTATGAAATTCCCGTGTAAGGTTAAAATGCATTCAGGGACTCCTCGCATTTATTGGATAGGAATACTACACTAAAATCCTCTGAATCTATCGGGGCTTTAAAATAATTCTTTTTTAATTAAAGCAATAGCATTACCTATGAGTATAAGGTAAATAATTTACTCCAAGAACCAGAATGTTGCACTCTGAACTTTCAGACCAATGTACTAATTTTTCCCCTTTTTTCATGAGGGTACACGTGCTGGTGCACACTAGGGTGTGTGTAAGAGAACAAGGGAGGAGCCCCTCCACACGTCACACGGTGGTCCCCTCCCTCCTGTCCTCCAGCCCCTCTGATCTCAGGTACTCTTCAGGCCAACGGGACCAGGAAGTCCAACCCCAGTCTCCACGTGGGTTGGAGCAGCACGTGAGCGCTGCTCTGTGGAGCCAGCCCTGATAACATTTTAATAGTGTTTGCTGCTAATAATAGGTGACACACTGGATTCAGACAAGGTAGCTAAATCCTTTACATATATTATCTCATTATTCTTCATATTGACCCCAAATGATACCTTTTTTGTTAAGTATTTATTGTCTCACTTTTTTTTTTAATCTATTGGGTGTGTATGCTCACCAGAGAGAGAGTCTGACAGAAAGAAGGAAAGCATCCCCCGTGGTAGACAGTCACGCCATCATCCATCCCCCATGGTAGATGGTCACGCGGTGATCCATCCCCCGTGGTAGATGGTTATCCCGTGATCCAGCCCCGTGGTAGACGGTCACGCCGTGATCCATCCCCATGGTAGACGGTCACACCATGATCTATCCCCATGGTAGACGATCACACCATCATCCACCCCCGTGGTATGCCGTGATCCATTCCCCGTGGTAGACAGTCACGCCGTGATCCATCCTCCATGGTAGATGGTCATCCCGTGATCCATCCCCTGTGGTAGATGGTCATGCTGTGATCCATCCCCGTAGTAGACAGTCATCCCATGATCCATCCCCATGTTAGACGGCCATGCCATCATCCATCTCCCATGGTATGCCGTGATCCATCCCCCATGGTAGACAGTCACACCGTGATCCATCCCCTGTGGTAGACGGTCACGCCGTGATCCATCCCCGTGGTAGACTGTCACGCCGTGATCCATCCCCGTGGTAGACGGTCACGCCGTGATCCATCCCCCGTGGTAGACGGTCACGCGGTGATGCCCTCTCCTCAATCTCCCTTCTTTCGGGATTTTGGGCACACATGCACCTGAAGTGTTTCTCAAGTGTGGGACTTGAGCTGCCCAGTTGGCCATGTGGGGCTAGGCTCTTTAATCACCATGCCACAGGCTGGCCCCCAATCGGTACTCTCATTTTTCCACTTTATGCATTAGGAAACCACTATCTAAAGAAGTTAACTCGCTCAGTGTGCACGGCTGGATCTGAAGCAAAATTGCCAGGGCCCCCTAAGACAACCTCCCCACCGCAGGCTCAACTGTAAACCCACAGCATTGAGGCCCACCTCAGATCTCCCCTTTCCTCTTTGACTACCCAAAACCCTCCGTCACCTCAAGCCCAACTAGAACCATTGCTGCCTTCTCTTACAGCCTTTTTCTAATATCCCTCCCTCTCGAATATTTCCTGTATCACCGTGGTGAATGTCACTTCCCCCTCATAAGTCAGTGCCTGTTCTGAAGTATTCTGCGGGATGTCGGAAAGATCAAGCCAGCCCACCCTCAAAGAGCTTACGATCTGATGACAGACACAGAAGTTCCATAAATAGCTGTATCACAAAGCAGAACATCTGTAAACTCCGGCAATATGGAAAGAGCGCTAAGACGGGTCTGTTGGAAAGTCTGCTGGACTAGGAGCAAAACTGAGCAGGGTTTGAACCTCATTCTCTTATTTATCAGTCATACGACCGTGTTCATGTTACTTCACGTCTGAGCCTCTGTTTCCTCTTCC